TGTGTCTCCACGTGTCTCCACGTATGTGTCTCCACGTGCGTGTCTCCACGTGTGTGTCTCCACGTGTGTCTCCACGTGCGTGTCTCCGTGTGTGTCTCCACGGTGTGTCTCCGTGTGTCTCCACGTGTGTGTCTCCACGTGTGTGTCTCCACGTGTGTGTCCACGTGCGTGTCTCCAGTGTGTGTCTCCACGTGCGTGTCTCCACGTGTGTGTCTCCACGTGTGTCTCCAGTGTGTGTCTCCACGTGTCTCCAGTGTGTCTCCACGTGCGTGTCTCCACGTGTGTGTCTCCACGTGCGTGTCTCCACGTGTCTCCACGTGCGTGTCTCCACGTGCATGTCTCCACGTGCGTGTCTCCACGTGCATGTCTCCACGTGCGTGTCTCCACGTGCGTGTCTCCACGTGCATGTCTCCACGTGCGTGTCTCCACGTGCATGTCTCCACGTGCGTGTCTCCACGTGCATGTCTCCACGTGCGTGTCTCCACGTGCGTGTCTCCACGTGCATGTCTCCACGTGCGTGTCTCCACGTGCATGTCTCCACGTGCGTGTCTCCACGTGCGTGTCTCCACGTGCGTGTCTCCACGTGCGTGTCTCCACGTGTCTCCACGTGCGTGTCTCCACGTGCGTGTCTCCACGTGCGTGTCTCCACGTGCGTGTCTCCACGTGCATGTCTCCACGTGCGTGTCTCCACGTGCGTGTTTCTACGTGCATGTCTCCACGTGCGTGTCTCCACGTGCGTGTCTCCACGTGTGTGTCTCCACGTGCATGTCTCCACGTGTGTGTCTCCACGTGCGTGTCTCCACGTGTCTCCACGTGTGTGTCTCCACGTGTGTGTCTCCACGTGCGTGTCTCCACGTGTGTGTCTCCGTGTGTGTCTCCACGTGTGTGTCTCCACGTGCGTGTCTCCACGTGTGTATCTCCGTGTGTGTCTCCACGTGTGTGTCTCCACGTGTCTCCACGTGCGTGTCTCCACGTGTGTGTCTCCACGTGCGTGTCTCCACATGAGTGTCTCCACGTGCGTGTCTCCACGTGTGTGTCTCCACGTGCGTGTCTCCACGTTTGTGTCCTCCGTGTTGTGTCCTCCACGTGTGTGTCTCCACGTGTCTCCACGTGCGTGTCTCCACGTGTGTGTTCTCCACGTGTGTGTCTCCACGTGCGTGGTCTCCACGTGCGTGTCTCCACGTGCGTGTCTCCACGTGTGTGTCTCCACGTGAGTGTCTCCACGTGTGTGTCTCCGTGCGTCTCTCCACGTGTGTGTCTCCACGTGTCTCCACGTGCGTGTCTCCACGTGCGTGTCTCCACGTGTGTGTCTCCGTGCGTGTCTCCATGTGTGTGTCTCCACGTGTCTCCACGTGCGTGTCTCCACGTGTGTGTCTCCACGTGAGTGTCTCCACGTGTGTGTGTCTCCACGCGCGTGTCTCCGTGTGTGTCTCCACGTGCGTGTCTCCACGTGCGTGTCTCCACGTGCGTGTCTCCACGTGCGTGTCTCCACGTGAGTGTCTCCACGTGTGTGTCTCCGTGCGTGTCTCCACGTGTGTGTCTCCACGTGTCTCCACGTGCGTGTCTGCACGTGTCTCCACGTGTCTCCACGTGCGTGTCTCCACGTGTGTGTCTCCACGTGTCTCCACGTGTGTGTCTCCACGTGTGTGTCTCCACGTGTCTCCACGTGTGTGTCTCCACATGTGTGTCTCCACGTGTCTCCACGTATGTGTCTCCACGTGCGTGTCTCCACGTGTGTGTCTCCACGTGTGTCTCCACGTGCGTGTCTCCGTGTGTGTCTCCACGTGTGTGTCTCCGTGTGTGTCTCCACGTGTGTGTCTCCACGTGTGTGTCTCCACGTGTGTGTCTCCACGTGCGTGTCTCCACGTGTGTGTCTCCACGTGCGTGTCTCCACGTGTGTGTCTCCACGTGTGTCTCCACGTGTGTGTCTCCACGTGTCTCCACGTGTGTGTCTCCACGTGCGTGTCTCCACGTGTGTGTCTCCACGTGCGTGTCTCCACGTGTCTCCACGTGCGTGTCTCCACGTGCATGTCTCCACGTGCGTGTCTCCACGTGCATGTCTCCACGTGCGTGTCTCCACGTGCGTGTCTCCACGTGCATGTCTCCACGTGCGTGTCTCCACGTGCATGTCTCCACGTGCGTGTCTCCACGTGCATGTCTCCACGTGCGTGTCTCCACGTGCGTGTCTCCACGTGCATGTCTCCACGTGTGTGTCTCCACGTGCATGTCTCCACGTGCGTGTCTCCACGTGCGTGTCTCCACGTGCGTGTCTCCACGTGCGTGTCTCCACGTGCGTGTCTCCACGTGTCTCCACGTGCGTGTCTCCACGTGCGTGTCTCCACGTGCGTGTCTCCACGTGCGTGTCTCCACGTGCATGTCTCCACGTGCATGTCTCCACGTGCGTGTTTCCACGTGCATGTCTCCACGTGCGTGTCTCCACGTGCGTGTCTCCACGTGTGTGTCTCCACGTGCATGTCTCCACGTGTGTGTCTCCACGTGCGTGTCTCCACGTGTCTCCACGTGTGTGTCTCCACGTGCGTGTCTCCACGTGTGTGTCTCCGTGTGTGTCTCCACGTGTGTGTCTCCACGTGCGTGTCTCCACGTGTGTGTCTCCGTGTGTGTCTCCACGTGTGTGTCTCCACGTGTGTGTCTCCACGTGTCTCCACGTGCGTGTCTCCACGTGTGTGTCTCCACGTGCGTGTCTCCACGTGAGTGTCTCCACGTGTGTGTCTCCACGTGTGTGTCTCCACGTGCGTGTCTCCACGTGCGTGTCTCCGTGTGTGTCTCCACGTGTGTGTCTCCACGTGTCTCCACGTGCGTGTCTCCACGTGTGTGTCTCCACGTGTGTGTCTCCGCGTGCGTGTCTCCACGTGCGTGTCTCCACGTGCGTGTCTCCACGTGTGTGTCTCCACGTGAGTGTCTCCACGTGTGTGTCTCCGTGCGTCTCTCCACGTGTGTGTCTCCACGTGTCTCCACGTGCGTGTCTCCACGTGCGTGTCTCCACGTGTGTGTCTCCGTGCGTGTCTCCACGTGTGTGTCTCCACGTGTCTCCACGTGCGTGTCTCCACGTGTGTGTCTCCACGTGAGTGTCTCCACGTGTGTGTGTCTCCACGCGCGTGTCTCCGTGTGTGTCTCCACGTGCGTGTCTCCACGTGCGTGTCTCCACGTGCGTGTCTCCACGTGCGTGTCTCCACGTGTGTGTCTCCACGTGAGTGTCTCCACGTGTGTGTCTCCGTGCGTGTCTCCACGTGTGTGTCTCCACGTGTCTCCACGTGCATGTCTGCACGTGTCTCCACGTGTCTCCACGTGCGTGTCTCCACGTGTGTGTCTCCACGTGTCTCCACGTGTGTGTCTCCACGTGTGTGTCTCCACGTGTCTCCACGTGTGTGTCTCCACATGTGTGTCTCCACGTGTCTCCACGTGTGTGTCTCCACGTGCGTGTCTCCACGTGTGTGTCTCCACGTGCGTGTCTCCACGTGTGTGTCTCCACGTGTGTGTCTCCACGTGTGTCTCCACGTGCGTGTCTCCACGTGTGTGTCTCCACGTGTGTGTCTCCACGTGCGGTCTCCACGTGCGTGTCTCCGTGTGTGTCTCCACGTGCGTGTCTCCACGTGCGTGTCTCCACGTGCGTGTCTCCACGTGCGTGTCTCCGTGTGTGTCTCCACGTGCGTGTCTCCACGTGCGTGTCTCCACGTGTGTGTCTCCACGTGTGTGTCTCCACGTGTCTCCACGTGCGTGTCTCCACGTGTCTCCACGTGCGTGTCTCCACGTGTCTCCACGTGCATGTCTCCACGTGCGTGTCTCCATGAGTGTCTCCGTGTGTGTCTCCACGTGCGTGTCTCCACGTGCGTGTCTCCACGTGTCTCCACGTGTGTGTCTCCACGTGTCTCCACGTGCGTGTCTCCACGTGTCTCCACGTGCGT